CCCGCTCCTCTGAGCCCTGGCGGGGGTTGGGGGGGGTCAGGCCACACGGCCGGGGATGCTCCCGAGAAGCTCCCTAGACTATTGGCTTTGCCGAGGCAAGAATCAGCGGAGAGATGGTCGAAAGGAGGAAAAGAAATTGGGTTTCTTTTTTCTCGTGCGCGCGCGCGCGTGTGTCAATTTTCTATTTTTAATTCAAATTTTAAAATCCACAACTTTTAAAGCAGCCGTTTTCGTTGTTGTGTGCCTTCTGCTGGGACAGAAGGTTCCCTAAGGCTGATCGTGCACTTGGTTTTCCTGCACCGGATCCCAGATTTTGTCATCCCAATCAGATGTACTCGCCCCGACCGGCTCCAGGTGAGACCCTTGCTGGGTTCCCGTCCCAGCCAAGCCAGTGTGCGGGCCACAGGTCGCACAGTTTTCTTCAACTCCTTTTCATCGGCTCCACCAAACTAGATGGTACTGATCAAGCGCACAAGACAGAGGGAAAACCAGGACGGGCGGATGGTGCCAATGAGCAGATTATTCCGAGGCAGTGATTTAAGCAGGTTGCTCACCAGTACTCTTTTAAACACGTCACGTAAGCATCCTCCCGTAAATAAAAAAGCGGGGAATTTAACTAGAGCCCTTCAAATAAAAAGAGGACTGAAAATATTTCCTCGCTAAAACGACTCAAGAGGACACGCAACTTTGTCAACTAAAGTTCCAACTTCTAAACCTAGAACAGAATCCGGGGGGCTTTTAATACGCAGGCTTGTGCCAAGAGGCGTGCCGCTGGAAGGACTACCCCGGCCAGGCACAGATCTGTGCGACTCCTATTCCTGCTGAACTTTATTAATTAATACGGAGAAACAACTATTCGGGTCACCCTTCACAGCCCCCAGAAGTGGGCAACACAAAGTAGTGCCTTATCGCTTTGAAATGAGCGAGAACCAGCCGCGGGTTGCCCTTTTATTACCTGAGTTTGCTAATAGATAGAATATATAGGTAGAATAGATACGTATTCTATCACAAACAGGACGTGCATATTTAGAAGCGCCGGAAGCGTCTGGCAGCGGGCTGAGGATTTCAGTGTGGCCCACAGTGGTCCGGGGGCCCGGTCTTGCCCAAGGCGTAAGCTGGGGGAGAGGGGCGCGGAGGAAGAGCCCAGCCAGCCCCCGCGGCCGGAGAGCCGGGAGACCCTGCAGCGGCAAGGTCGGCTCACGAAGCGTCGCCTCTTGCCACAGAGAAAACGAGACGAACGATTCTCCCCACATCGATCCAAAGGAAACAAACAAACAAACAAAAAAGTCCCCACATCGCTTTACCGCTTTACTCCGAGGGAGAGCCCTCCTTTTAACAGCGCGGTTTCCCAGC